AAAGAAGTTTACAGATTCATCTTAGTTTCCTTCACATCATGCATCTTCTCCCTCCTCTTCCTCCTTCTCTTCCACGACCTCCTCCTCCTCCTCCTGCTACCACTTCTTCACCTTCTCCTCCTCGCTCTATACCTCCTACTTCTCCTCCATCTTCTTCTCCCATTTCATCTCCTATTCCTTCTCCTCCTCCTCTTCCCCCTTTACTTTTCCTCCTCCTCCTATTCCTCCTCCTCCTCCCCCCCTCCTACTTCTCCTCCTCCTCCTCCTCCTCCACCTCCTCCTCCTCCTCCTCCTCCTCCTCCTCCTCCTCCTCCTCCTCCTCCACCTCCTCCTCCTCCTCCTCCACCTCCTCCTCCTCCTCATTATCCTCCTCCTCCTCCTCCTCCTCCTCCTCCACCTCCTCCTCCTCCTCCTCCTCCTCCTCCTCCTCCTCATTATCCTCCTCCTCCTCATTATCCTCCTCCTCCTCCTCCTCCTCATTATCCTCCTCCTCATCACACCGAACAAGACCACTTCAATATCCTCATGTGCCTGACTGAGTCAAAGAGGGACCTAAAGCCAATCTTAACCTCACACGCCCCGCACTTATAGTCATGATGGAATAAGGGCGACGCTCCTACCTGGAAGTACAGGATTATGGTCCATATGAGGCCCAGCACCACGGAAGGTCGGCCATCCACAAGATCTGTCGGGTTGATGTTCACCAGCTTGATCTGTCGGGGAGAGAAAAGAGAGGATGCGGGTCAAAAGAGAGAGATAAAGGCAGGGGGACGCAAGGGAGGGCGGTAAGGGTGAGGAAGGGTGATGACTCGACGCGTGCAAGGGTGAGGGAGGAGAATGAATCGACATTCAATCTATCGGGGAGAGAGAGAAAAAAAAGGTCAGATTGACGAGGGTGACGCGATGGGTGAGGAAAGGGGTAGCTCAACACTTAATTAATTAGGGGGAGAACAAGGGTGACACGAAAGGTGACGCAAAAGATAATAATTCAAAATGGACAAAGATGAAAAAAGTAAAAAAAAAAAAAAAAAAAAAAAAAAAAAAAAAAACAGATAGACAAGAGTGACACATGGATCATAACCCATCGCGGATAAGGATCATAACACGATATTTTATCAGAAAAGTTAGATCTGATACACAAGTGTGAGACAAAAGTGATACCTAACCATAGACAAGGATGAAAGAGGCAATAACTATATTTAAAGAAAGATGAAAAAAGGGTGATAAAAACATAGATGAAAGGGTGATAACAAGATGAAAAGCGTGATATCTAAACACAAATAAAAATAAACCAAGGTTCACACCTCTATATGCAAAAGGGTGAAGAAATGGACCACAAACTCAACACACATAAGAACGAGAACAGGGTGACAACACAGGCGAGAGTGAGCAAGGGTGATGACCCAACACTCTCCTCGCTCGGCCAATGGAGAAATCATTTCGTCCATTCATACTTATTACTTTTTATTCTCCTTCCTACTTTTACTCTCGGACGACGAAAATAAGCCAGTTTTATGCTTGCAGTTTGTGCGTTTATCACCTTTGATATCTCCGTATTCTGACCTTTATGAACTTGTTGTTTGTTCATGTTCTTCGTTATTGAACTTATCTGGCTCCCTCTTCGTGAATTTGCGGATTAGATCAAAGATATAAAGTTAGACATAAGGAGAGATATACTTACGGTTTAACATATCTATTTCTCTGAAGAAATAAATTCGATTGGGATTATCACCGTTTATGTGGTCTCCTTCTCTAGTACAATTTCTCTGCACACCTTTTCTTATTCCTTCTTTTTTTTCTTTTTTTCTTTCTATCTCTCCCTCTCTTCTCAATTCTTTATTTCCCTCCCGTCACTCCTCTCCCCCTCCTACCCTATTATTGTCTCTGACTAGTTTTCTTTTCTTTCTCCAGCTCCTTCTTCTTCCCTCCTTCTCTCATTGCCGCTTCTATTCATCCCTTCCTCATTTTCCCTCCCTCTTTCCCTCTCCTCTTCTCTCATCATCTCTCTCTCTCTCCCCTTCTTTCCCCATCTCCCTTTCTCCCCTCCTTTCCCTCTCCACCCTTCTCATTCTCCACTTCATAGCCAGCCAAGGACAATGCACACTTGTTCTCCCCCCCCTCTCCTTCTCTCTACCTCCCTCTCTCCTCCCTCCTATTATCTCCATCTCTCTCTCTCTCCTTCTTTCCTTTTTCTATATTTCTCCCTTTCTCCGCCACAACCACTAGTCTCCCCCCCCCCGCTCTCTCTCTCTCTCTCTCTCTCTCTCTCTCTCTCTCTCTCTCTCTCTCTCTCTCTCTCTCTCATTCCTTCCCCATCTCTCTTCCCCCCCCTTTTTTTCCCTCTCTCTCCTTCTCTCCTTCCACGCCACAGCTCCCCAAGGACAATAAACACTAGTAGGACTTCCCTCTGTCTTCTCTGCCTGACGAACCTCTCACCTCTCCCTTTGGATCAACCCCAGCCTTACCTTACCTCTTCCCTTACCTATTCGTCTCCCTTTGGGTAGTTCTCATTGTCCTTGTTTTTACCTATTTTCCCTTTTCCCTCTCTTGGACTGCATAGCTATTTACCGCAAAGAAATACAATCCCGCAGGAATGTCTGCTTTTATATTCTATGCCTGCTCAGGTCTCATGTTTTTGTTGTTCTTAATTATTTATTCCCTTATTCTCTTCTTTATTCTCGTTTTCATTATCTGGTGATTTCTCTGTTTCGTTGTTTATTGTCCTGTCTTAACATTCTTCTGTCGTTTTCGTTTCTTCCCATCTATACACACTGTTTTCTTTTTTATCTTCCCTCTCACCTTCTCCTTCTTCTTCCCCTTTTCTGCCTCATCTCATCTACACATCTCTCTTTATTTTCCCCATCTACCCTCTTCCTCTCTAACTTACTATGTTACTTATCATTTACTTATTATCTACTTGTCATTTTACCCTTTACCCATCTGTTTCCTTCCCACTTCCTTCTTCGTCACTTACCATTCTCACACTTAACGTCTCCTTTCTAACCCTCCTCCTCACCCTTTATGCTCCCTTCCCACTTACCCAATTCCCCACACTTACCCACCTCCCTTCACTTACCCTCTAACCCTTCTTCTTACCTCTCACCGCTTTATTCCCTTCCCCATTTACCCATCTCCCCCTCGCTTACCCTTTCACTCTCCCTCACCCTTCCCCTTTCTCCTCTCACTTACCCTTCATCTTTATTCCCCATTTCCCCACTTCCCCTCACTCTTTATTCCCCACTTCCCCACTTCCCCTCACTCTTTATTCCCCACTTCCCCACTTCCCCTCACTCTTTATTCCCCACTTCCCCACTTCCCCTCACTTACCCTCTTGCCCTGGAGGAAAGTGAGCGCCGTGTTGGCATTGCTGAGGAAGTGTGGGCGCCGCAGGACACGCCCCTTCTCGATGGGCAGCTTCTCCCCCGAGAGGACCTCCAGCAGGGCGAGCAGGGCGGTACCATCCTTCAGGTCCTCGATCAGGTCATTTAGCTTCAGCGGTGGAACGTGCTGGGGGGGGGGGGGGGGAGCGAGATATTATGGTTATTGTTGTTGTTGTTATTATTATTATTATTATTATTGTTATTGTTATTATTATTATTATTATTATTATTATTATTATTGTTATTATTATTATTATTATTATATTATTATTATCATTATTATTATTATTATTATCATTATTATTATTATTATTATTATTATTATTATTATTATTATTATTATTATTATTATTATTATTATTATTATCATTATTATTATTATTATGGTGAGTACACACACACATACACACACACACACGTACACACATTCCAACCAACTCATAAACCTCAGAATCTCCCATTAAAGAGAGCTTAAGAATTTAGAACACAAAAAAAAGAAAAAAGAAAAAGAAAATACGTACATACATACATACATGCATACACACACACACACGTACACACATTCCAACCAACTCATAAACCTCAGAATCTCCCATTAAAGAGAGCTTAAGAATTTAGAACACAAAAAAAAGAAAAAAGAAAAAGAAAATACGTACATACATACATACATGCATACACACACACACACACCACACACACACACACCACACACACACACACGTACACACATTCCAACCAACTCATAAACCTCAGAATCTCCCATTAAAGAGAGCTTAAGAATTTAGAACACAAAAAAAAGAAAAAGAAAATACGTACATACATACATACATGCATACACACACACACACACACCACACACACACACACACCACACACACACACACACACACACGTACACACATTCCAACCAACTCATAAACCTCAGAATCTCCCATTAAAGAGAGCTTAAGAATTTAGAACACAAAAAAAAGAAAAAAGAAAAAGAAAATACGTACATACATACATACATGCATACACACACACACACACACACGTACACACATTCCAACCAACTCATAAACCTCAAAATCCGCCATCAAAGAGAGCTTAAGAATTTAGAACAAAAAAAGAAAGAGAGAGAGAGAAAAAAGAAAAAGAAAATACGTACATACATACATACATGCATACACACACACACACGTACACACATTCCAACCAACTCATAAACCTCAGAATCTCCCATTAAAGAGAGCTTAAGAATTTAGAACACAAAAAAAAGAAAAAGAAACATACACACGTACACACACCCACATACATACACACGCACACACACACACACACACACACACACACACACACACACACACACACACACACACACACACACACACGTACACACATTCCAACCAACTCATAAACCTCAGAATCTCCCATTAAAGAGAGCTTAAGAATTTAGAACACAAAAAAAAAGAAAAAAAGAAAAAGAAAAAGAAAATACGTACATACATACATACATGCATACACACACACACACATCCAAACACAAACACGCGTACACACCCACACACATACACCCACATGTACACCCACACATACTCCCGCATACACTCTCCCCCCACACACATACGTACACCCACCCAC